ATATATATATATATATATATATAAGTATATATAAAAGGCTTTCTCTTTCTGAAAACATGACATTTTTTACTTTGTGAACTTTGTTTTATTCTCCTTGAATCATAAGACAAGAAACACGTAGGCGGTCTCGCACTGACCTCGGCTCTCGGTTCCGTCTCAATAAATTCACAAAGGTCTCAATCTCCTTGGCGGTGATGTGTTTCTCCAGCAGTTTGCGGTTGTTGTGTAGGAGAGCGGTGATGGTGTCTTCTGCCAGGATGTCATATCCGATCTGTGACTGCATGATACAGAAATGCTTGGCGATATATTCCTGGGAAGAGAAGAATATCAGTTGTGTTAGTGGCTGGGAAGAAGGATGGAAGGACCGGATGTCATGCCGTTGCCGCCCTCGTACAGTAAATGCCCCACTTTCAGTCCTTGTGAATTCATCCCACTCTAAACGGTCACACTGCGAGTCCTCAGGGCACCGGCATCAACCCTAACATGTGAAAAGCTGCTTGTATAGAGAGGGAACTCAAAGTTTGAAGAATCACATGACAGGATTAAATAAACTCACTTTATTTAAAAGTTAGAAATATTTAAAGGAAAAGTGCAGTTAGAGGCACATGCAGCCTGCCATTGCTGCCTTCCTTCTGAACATGCCAGTTTCCTTGCTGTCTCTGGATTTAGGCTGGATACACACCAAGCACAATGAGGCTGCACTGGCCCTTTTTTTTCAGGGGAGCCCTAATGCAAGACAAGGGAATTTGCCTTATCATGGATGGGCACAGTTAACAACACTGCACTGCGGTTGTGTGTGCTGAAAAAAAAAAAGTATTGCATGCAGTAAATTTTTTCGGTGCAGCAGATTGCTATGTGGTACAACCAGACTGCACTGCGCTGTGCCCATTGAACTTAATACAATGTCACTCGTCGGCAGGTCATGGGCAGTCAAGGCTCACTAATGCATGTGGGGGGGGGCAAAGGCTGGCCCGTGTAGTCTGATCCAATAGAAGAGCTAGTGTAGCTTAAATTGCAGAGAAAAGTTAATGCTGGTTCCGATAAAAAGATGTCTGAACACACAATGCACCGCAGTTTGTTGCGTATGGGGCTATGTAGTCATAGACTGGTTAGGGTGCCCATGCTGACCCGTGTCCACTGCCAAAAGCTCCTACAATGGCCACGTGAGCATCAGTACTGGAACAAGGAGCAGTGTAGGAAGGTGGCCTGGTCTGATCATGAAATCATGTTTTCATTTTGCATCATGTGGATGGCCGTGTGGGTGTGTGTCGCTTACCTGGGGAAGAGATGGCTCCAGGATACACTATGGGAAGAAGCCAAGCCAGTGTAGGCAGTGTTATGCTTTGGGCAATGTTCTGATGGGAAGCCTTAGGTTCTGCCATTCATGTGGATGTTACTATGACACATACCACCTAAACATTGTTGCTGACCAAGTACATCCCCTCATGGAAACTGTATTTCCTGATGGCAGTGGCTTCTTTCAGCAGGATAATGCACCCTGCAACACTGCAAAAATGGTTCAAGAATGGTTTGAGGAACACAACAATGAGTCTGAAGTGTTGACTTGGCCTCCAAATTTAGCAGATCTCAATCCAATTAAGTATCTGTGGGATGTGCTGCAAAAACAAGTCTGATCCATTGAGGCCCCACCTCACAAATTACAAGAAGGATCTGCTACTGACGGCTTGGTGCCAAGTACCACAGCATGCATTCAAAGGTCTAGTAGAGTCCATGCCTCAACGGGTTATGGCTGTTTTGGCAGCAGAAGGGGGACCTACTCAATAATAGGTGGGCGGTCACAATGTTATGGCTGATCGATTCATGTATGTGATTAATGCATTTAAATTCCCCCACCATCCCGCTATCCTACAGCCAGCAAGTTTCCCTAGCAGTTACACTAACCTGGTTCTTCCGATAGTCTTGCTGAGAGTGCCTCAGGACGCGGTAACAAAGTCGCAGGATGTACTTGTAGGGGGCGTATCTCTGGTCTCCCAGATCTTCAAGCCGCAGCATGGAGCCTTCACCCGCCTTGTCTTTGAATGGCGCCTTCAAGATGCCAAAGATCTGGGGAAACACATTGGAGGGAAAAAAAAAACACATTTGTTATCATTAAACAAAGACAACACTTTCTCTTCTATATAAATGTAACTGTATTTCAAGTTTCCTAATTCACCAACTGCCCATGTAGAAAAGAAGAAAGACAATAACAAAATGACAAATTTTTCAGTCAGTAGGAAATTTTTCACTAAAGCCAGGGACTGGATCTGAGTCTCATTAGTTTAGAGAACTGTGACCCTACTACCCACAGGTGACCCTATGCCATAAAATATATCACAGATGGCCATGAGCAGACATTTACAGACGATAAAGAAAGTTCTCTTTGAACTTCTTCCTTGCATCATAACAAAGAATATTTTTGCTCAGTGGAGCTACACCTTATACTTCCAAACGGTTGCTCTTTAGTCAAATAACTTTGAACTCCAGGGCCAAAAAAATAAAGTTAACCCTGGCACCTGGAAGCCAGCATATGCTAATGGTAGATAGTTTGGGATGACTTCTCCAGGTTTTCAAGATGCCAAAGGGGCAGAAAGGAGCCACAGGAAGTGGCAATCGGCAGTTCCAGCTTATAGCAGGCTTCCATGTAGGAAAACCAAGCTCTGGGTCAGCTCAGCTTTTTTTCTTCTAGAGACATTGTTACTTTCTTCTTTAGAGAAAAAAAGAACAGTAAACCCTTGCAGTGCACTGCAAATGTTAACTTTTTGCATACTTGGAGTTCTTCTTTAAAATACAACCATACTACAAATTAATATTCTGCTCTGTCATATCATTTCTTGAGTCGACCTAAAAGAAAATGGGTTGATCGCGATTTTAAAAAATGCCTGTGCAGGTTTATATTTTTTTTACGAATACAATCGGATTGAAACACATTCGGGCACCTTAAGGGCATGAACACCATTGTTGTTTTTCAGCATTTTACATGTGTTTGAAATGCACGTCAACTGCAGATCAGCAGATTCACAAAAACTTTGATGGAGTAGAGTAAATCCCAGAGGTGCCTTCCATTTTCCTCAGGGGCGCCACAAAGGTTTTGCACAGCATCATGCCTTTACATGTTGCAGACAGGCCAGCAGTTAGCACCATGGAAACAAATGCTAATCTATGGAAGGTGGGATCCATTCAAAGATTAATTGAATGTGTGGAGCTCCCTCTTTAAAATCTATACCAGGCACCTATCTGGGATAAGAGTCTGGTTTAGATATGGAGGGACCACAAATTGCTTTTTACATTTTAGACTGGGGGACCTCAAGATTTTGCATACCTTTATAGGGTGCCGTGGCTACAAATAGTTTGGGAAACCCTGGTGTAGATGACAGTTCAGAAACTGCATCTGACCTTTTTTTCAGATGCAGCAGAACCAATTTAGGTGCATTTGGACTGCAAGCATATCAGGTCCAATGCAGCCTTCTCTTGTCAATTGTTGAGCTGTGCATTCATTTGAGCAACAAGCATTCAGATGTGCATTACAAACTCAAGCCTTTAGACTTATATTTCTCTCTGGGCTTTCTGCTAATTCCCGATTAAGTTGCTGCTCACCTGAGCTAAAATATTCTGCTCCCTCATTAACTTTTGTCTTTCCCGGTTGGGTTTGGTGACAATTACATCCAGTACTTCCTGTCCGTTATTTGGGACGCCAGCTACAAAGAATATCAGATCTTCCAAGAGTTTGGTTACAAACCTGAACGGAGAGAAAACATGAATCATAGGGAGAGCAAGATATGGATGATCATCTTCCGAAAACATTAACAGGGTTATTCACAAATGGGTGAAGAGTTTTGGAGAAGGCAGGAGAAGTGAATAATCTAGGACGACATAGCTGATTTGGAAAAGTTCTCCAATCCAGCTCACTTTTCAGCTATGTTGGCCTACATTGTCTACTTCTCCTGCCTTCTTCAAACTCTTCACCCTTTAGTGAATAACCCTGTAAAAGCAAAGCCGTCTATTTATTGTACATGAACTCCATGAATTTTGTAAACTGAGAAAGACACACACTATCACATTTTGATTAATAAAATTAATTAAATATTGATTCACTTTTCACTTTGATAAAACATTTGGCACATAGAGTATCGATTTATGGAAAGCACAAAATTATTGTCTGAGCTGAAGGGCTTAAACAGTAAAGAAATGGAAACACTAATGAAACTAAAAATAACTGGTAGTTAATAATAAGGTTAAATATAATATGACATCACGTTAAAGGGTAAAATAGGGGAGGATGGCCCTGCGCAGACATAGATTGGGTTATGGATAATGGGTATAATACGGAGGTTAGAAGGAATTAAGGCAATGTCTTGTTTGGTCTTGTTTTAATGTTGATTGTATGTCAACTTTGTAAAATATGTGAAATTGAATTGATGTTTGAAAATTAATAAATATTTATAAAACAGACCGAATTCAGTTTATTTTGATTTAGCTCCCAAAAATAGGTGTTTTAAAGGGACAAATGTATATATGTATAATGTATAAATACATTTAATATGATTTTGTTTTCTAAAGAGAAAAATAGCGGGAACTGTTTACTTTCAAGGTCTTTTTCTCTACTTGAATTGAAAATGTGAACAGAGCCCTCAGAATAGATCAGGAGGGAGGGAGGGAGAGAGAGAGAGAGAGAGAGAAGGAGGAGTGATTGCTCTGACTTATTCAGCTGCATGTGTAAATGATAGCTTTAGTAGTGGACCACAACTAAAGCAGATATGGAGAGCCTGAAAAACATATAAAGAGGTGCCTAGAGTGCCACTTGCTGGCTAGAAATGAGAATACAAACTATTGATATGCAATGTTTTATATTTGTCTTTTTTAATTCATTGTTTAACCATAATAACTAAAGAAAATATGTAAATCTAAACATAAAGATTGTAAATTAGATTGTAATTGGTATGGCCACCGTAAAGTGACACTAAACTCAAGAATTTAATCTTAAAAATGCATTTAAGTACCTTAACTATTAATAAAAATTTAACTTATTTGTGTATCACTTGGCTGTAGATCTTCAAATCATCTCTGACACTGTACTTCCTTCTGGAGGGTGGCTACTTTTTTTCTCCATGGTCCCTGTGTGTGTTGTAAAGTAGTCACCTCTCCAAGCTCCCTCCATGATAGACTACAATCTCATGTTTAGTTTACTAATTTGTACTGAGATTGTAGTGCATCATGGGAGTGAGCTTGGAGCGGTGACTACTTTATAACACACACAGCGACCATTGAGAACAAAAGTAGCCACCCACCAGAAGGAAGGACAGTGTCGGCACCAATTCAGAGATGATTTGAGGATTTACAGCCGAGTGATACACAAATAAGACACATTTTAGTTAATAGTTAAAGTACCTAAATGCATTTTTAGGATTTAAGTTCTGAGTATAGTGTCACGTTAACAATGATCACATCATGCAACAATTTTACAGTTTTCTTTAAACATCTTGTGATATTTGTGGTTACCTCAATAATTTTTCCTCTGAATATCTTGTTTCCAGCAAAATGTAAATGATTTTATGAGATAAAGTGTGGAGTAATCAATCTACTGCATATTCAATGATTTGTCTTTAAAAAAAAAAGGCACAACCATATTCAAAAATGACTTCAGAACTGAACGTGGCCAACAAACAGTATAACATGACAGTTTGACAGACTTGAAGAAATAATTTGCCCAAGAGCAAAATGGCCAAACCTTCGCTCATTCTGATTGATGGTTCCATACTCCAACTTCTTGACCGTGGAGGATAAAACTTTGTTGGCGTCATTGGCAAAATCCAGGTCTCGCACCTCCGACAGCGGAACAGAGATGATGGCAAAAGCTTCCTTATCTTCCTTCGTTTGGCACGTTCCAATCTATTGGATGGATTTACATGAGCAAACTCTTGTCAATAGCAGTAAATGTATATCAGGTTATAACTATAGATGATAGCTAGCAGAAAAACTGTTAAAATTGTTGGAAAATACTAATAATGATGTTTTGAAGGGAGTCTATACATAAATGCCCAGGCTGTGGAGGACCCCAAAACCAGATCAGGACCATGGGGATTTCTGTCAAGGCTTCATGGTCAGCCAACTAGCAATAATACAATAAGCTCTTTATTTTCAAGTCCATAACCAACGCATTTCGGGAGTCGCATAAATCCACCTTCTTCAAAGGTCTGAGGCAGATGCATGCTGTCTAATTTTACTGCAGTGGTGAATGACAGATTAACATTAGCTCGAGATAGGATAAGTGGACATCCAGGAGGATGCTAGCATCTATAAATACACTGCCTGGCCAAAAAAAATGAAGTCCCCACCAGGCTTTAGCTAAGCAAATAGGTCAGAGCCTTCCATTGGATAATCACTAGGTTCAGGACTTTATGTCCCCAAAAAAATGAGGTCAGCTGCCTACCTGAATATACTGAATGGCCAAGTTTTTCCATGAATGGGATTTTTCTTCCCTGATGGCACATTGGGCATATTGCAAGGTGGCAATGCCAGGATTCATCGGGCTCAGGTTGTGAAAGATTGGTTCAGGGAGCATGAGACATCATTCTCACACATGGAGTGGCCACCACAGAGTCCAGACCTTAACCCCATTGAGAATCCTTGTGATATGCTGGAGAAGACTACGCAGTGGTCTGACATCACTACAAGATCTTGGAGAAAATCCAATGCAACTCTGGACGGAAATAAATGTTGTGACATTGCATAAGCTTATGGAAACAATGCCATGGCGAATGCATGCCGGAATCAGAGCTAAAGATGGTCTAATGATATAATCAAATGTGTCTTTTTGTTTGGCCAGGCAGGGTATAAAGTAAAACATTATAAACACCAGCCACCGATTAGCTGTCCGCTTTGTTGCAATGTTAAACAGTATTTCAAGCTGATTTTAATCTGTCATTCACTAACCATAACATTAGATGGTATGCATCTGTTTTAAAGCCTTGAAGAAGGTGAGATCATATGACTCCTGAAACGCGTTTGCTATAGACTCTAACTAAATGTATTGTATCTGATTATCCTTATGATCTGCTCTTTTTGAGCTCCATAATCTACTGTACTTAAAGTCTACATCTAATGTCCCCTAGCATTTGGTGGGCAACTGCAAAAAAAAAAAAAGCGTGGTCCATTGCACGTAAACAGTAGTCATAAGGTACTTTAATGAACAGTCTTCCATTGACTGACTGCAACAATGAAAGCCCAACCCCAGCACAGTTTTGTTTTTTGGTGTCCCCCTTTCGTTAAAAATCTGTTTAAAAAGAAACTTTTTTAGTAGAGTGAGAAAGCTTTTGACAATTTTTTTTATTGCTGTCTGTGTTTTTTGTCCCAGTGAAACCTATGTTCCCCGATTTTTTTTCACATGGACGGAAAGTGAGACAAAAATCTTCCCAACTGGGACACAGACAGAAATAAAAACTTGACACTAGATACGGTGGACAAGAACTACAGAGTATTGATCCCACCATTGTAAATCCCTGAGCGGTCTAATTCGGTAATACTGCCAGTATTGGCTTCTTACCTTCAGCATGACTGGCCTTTCCTCATCTGTGTCAATGGGAATACTAGTACTGGTCACCCAGGTGTTGGTACAAAGATGGCGCAGTCTGACGTAGGAGTTCCTACATTTAGAAACAACATTTTTTCCTGAAAACCAAAGCTGATAAAAATATACAATGTATATTTTCCATATGAAAAGAATGTGAAAAAAAAAATATTTTTACAGGATAAGCAAATACAAGAAATTGTATGCAGGAACCTCCTGGAATAATGACCAGTCACTGCTGCTCTCTCTCCTTGTGCAAGGTGACTTGTATCCACCCCCTCCTGTAGTTTTCTGTGGGAAGCCTGCAGTGTGTGGAGCCTGCTGGAACCCTCCCATAGCACTGCTAAAGGTACATTTCAAGGAAGGACAAGACGGTAAATAAAAAAAATTTAAAAAAACAATCTTTCTTTTTTTTTCTTAGCAGCTTTACATTGTTGTCTGTGTCCCCACTGGAGATTTCCCCTTAATTCCTGCCCAGGTGAAACATTGTAATCAGGGCAGGGAGTGGGGGGAAATTTCCACAACAAGACCACAGCAATAAAAACCTTCATATGATAGGTTGTAACTCTTTCCCACTCTTGCCAAAATAAAAGTTTTATTGTTACATTGAAAAGAGAGTTAAAGGGCACACGGGTGTGTACAGATGTACAGGTTCGGGTCTGCGTGTAGCCGCATGTAACTGCGTGCAGCTGCGTCCTCTCAAAGGCAGGTACAGGCTGTTGCACACAATTACATGCAACACTTGTCCCTCCCGGGATCGAGTCTTTGCATGGGCATGCACGCTGTATGGACGTACACGCCTGTGTGAATAAGCCCTAAAGGTTGCAGTGCAATGTTGGCAAAAAAGGCGCAGAACTGCCGGACAGAATCTGGTGCAGTCTGGCTCTACCTGGGCACCAAGCAGTCAGCCCGCTGCAGGGTCGTGGCGTCCAGTTCAAAGAGTGACGCAATGTCGTTCCCGTGCGGTACAGACACCAGTGTGAACATAATCTTCTCTCCTGCCTGCCATTTCCTCTTCGACACCGGCAATTCACCTTCCTTCTGCAAAGTGAGCACAAATATTAAATGAGAAACTGTAAATATAAATGTGAAGGAGATCAGCCTGAAGTTTCTTTTATTTATTTATTACAGATATTTATAAAGCGCCATCAATTTGCACAGCGTTTACATAGTTGCACGTTCACATCAGTCCCTGCCCTCAGGGAGCTTACAATCCAGAGAGGTAAAGGTGTTCCGTAGTCCTAAAACACTTTCTGTCTGATGGTGACTGCTCATCCATAGATACAGTACAGTACAGTAGGTGTTGTCACCCTAGGACAGGAAATGTGTAACTAGCAGGATCACTAGGTATAAATAAAGGGAAAAATAGCCCTGAAAAAGAAAACTACTGCAACCAGCATATCTAAAGATGGGTAAGCTGCAATATATTACATTTTTGTTCTTGAGTTCAGATACACTTTATAAATCAATACTCTTTATTAGTGAATTCATTATTAATTGCATTTGTAAATTTAACATTTTTTTTTATTAGAGAGAATGAACATCAGGTTCCTTGAGGCGGTGGAGAATGAGAAAGAGGTCCTGTCTTCTGTAGACAGAAATGTTTAAAATGACAGTAAAGTAGGACTGGCCAGAGACAGATCACTTTGACATAGCTGGCAATTTTGAACATGTATTGAAATATATGCAAACCAAGAATCCCTGTTTTTATGCAAAGGTTTTTTACGGGTGTATAGCAGTGGGCAGAGGATTCATTCACATTTTTCACTGCCTTCTAAACCAGTGTTTCTCAACCATTTTTCAGTCATGGCGCCTTTTAAAAATATGTAAAATCCCCAGCCACTCCAGTCTACAATGTAAAAAGTGTAAAAGTAAAAAGTAATGAACAATGTGTGGTCCTCCCAAATTCAATTTTTCCTTATCCTAGACTGCGGTCTGGTATGGGTTTTAAGGGGGCAAAGTAAGAAAGAAAAAAAAAAGACAACGTGGAGTTCATTAGAGTTCCCCCTTTCACAGGCTGTTTTGGAGATAGGTCAAGCGGGCACATGAAAATCTGACCTATATTAATGACAAATAGTTTAAAAACTATTTTAGATGTTGTGGTATTTGGTGAATGAGCACATTGCTGCCGATCGGCATGATACTGCGCGGAGGTTCCGTAAGATCTGGGACCCCACTCACTATGTGTCCCAGGAAGTGGACGAATGCGCTGATTTCTCTGCCTCTAACCCTGCAGGTGGGATGGGTGGGCGGAATACTCCGGGGTCTCTTCCCTTTGTTCTCCTGTTCTTTTCCTCTTTGCCATCTTTATGATATCTATTCTTTTTAACATCTTTTCTTCTTCTTTGGCGCTTCAATTTTCGCTGATGTCCTGTTCTATCCTTGTCCTTCCTTGTGTACCCAGTCTCCAAGCCATGGTGGGTCTGATTCAACGTCTCTATGTGGTGTTGCATGGGCCCATTATCTTATTGGCTGTGCCCAATTTAGAGCACTATCTAAGGCTGCACCTTTGGATGTTTCCCGGAGATGACTATTGCTTTGTTTCTGAAGTTGTATGTATTATTGTATGTGGCCCCAAAACCTGTATGTTATGGTTCTTGTTTTTTGTAACCCTCAGTAAAAACTATTGTGACTAGAAAAATGTACATTTTAACAGGGGGTTATTGCTATATTTGTACACAACTCTTCCATCTTCTGTTATCTGTAGCTATAGACCATATTGTATACATATCAGAAGGATATTGCCTATTAGAACATTTAATAAGCATCAAATTTCCTCTGTGCCTCTGTGCACTTAAGTACTTGCTGCCCATTATGAAGGGCCCCCACCATCCCTGCTGGATTTTGTATTTACTACCATGTTTCCCGGAAAATAAGACACTGTCTTATATATTTTCTGCCCCAAAAAACACACTAGGTCTTATTTTCAGGGGATGTCTTATTTTTATTTATTTTTTATGTGCAACAAAATGTACAACAATCTAAATTTATTCCTGTACAATACATGTACAAGTACTATGGCTTAGTGCAGGTAACCTGCAGGTGCACAGTGCTGCATCTGCGGATCCAGGGCCATCTTTAATATTAATTGGACCATAGGCAAAAATGTTCTTGGGCCCCCTGCCCCCTACCTGCCCCTCTCCCGCCATGCACTTTCGCTCTCCAAAAGAGCAGATAGGAGGAAACCTTAGAGGGAGAGATGACTCTGCATGAGACGTCGTGCTATGCGGCGTACAGCAGGGGCCTGAGCAACACTATGCAATGCAGATCGCAAAGTAAACAGAACAGTGACACGTGTGTATCTTTTGCGGGCTCAAGTGGCAGCTGCTTTGGGCCCCACAACAATGACTGGGCCCCGGGCAACTGCCCCTTTTGCCGTGTTAAAGACTGCCCTGTGCGGATCAGTGTAAAAGCAGCCCAATACAGTAATCACTTCAGAATGTCCACTGTCTTTTATTTACTGACCTTAATGGTATGGTAAGAATGAGAATAATACTGTTGCTCTCGTTATATTCCTGCTGGTCAGTATTGGTAAAGCAGATTCCGTTCTTTCACAGGCGGAGAGTGGACAGCGCGGTATAGTACATGCTACCGCCAAACTAGGTCTTATTTTGGGGGTAGGTCTTATATTATAGGAATCTTGAAAAATAGTGCTAGGTCTTACTTTACGGGGTAGGTCTTATTTTCAGGGAAACACGGTATATACACTGCCTGGCCACTGGCATTTTCTGTGGCATCATTTCAATTAGCTTATGCAATGTCACAACATTTATTTCTGTCCAGAGTTGCCTTACTTTTTCACTAAGATCATGAAGTGATGATGGGAGAGTGGGACCACTGGGTAAAGTCTTCTCCAGCACATCCCAAAGATTCTCAATGGGGTTAAGGTCTGGACTCTGTGGTGGTCAATCCATGTGTGATAATGATGTCTCATGCTCCCTGAACCACTCTTTCACAATTTGAGCCTGATGAATCCTGGCATTGTTATCTTGGAATATGCCCAATGTGCCATCAGGGAAGCTATCAGGCAAACATACAGACTCATTTAAGCTATCCTGCACACTGGAGACATTTTGCCTCTACCCATGTCCTGTCCCAGGACCCCGGTGCTGCGAAACAGGAATGACAACCATTTAACCACCATCCTGTAAAAAAAAAACCAAGGTGGCTTTGGCAAATTGTTTAATAAATTGAAACAAATAACAAGCATATGGTCCTCAGTCTGCAGATGCCAGGCAGAGGGGTGACTTGTGATATTATAGCCGTTAGCGATCCAAGGAGGGGGTGTTTGAGCAGGCTGCGGGTGTCGCAGCACATGGGCGCATTCATGCCTCTCCTTACATTGCAGACCCCTGTGAAGCCTCTCGCTTCCACAAACACCTTTGCTGTTGACTAAGCCGTGAGTCATCTCCATTTTTAGCAGAGGCATCACGCTCCACCACTCAAGACTCCCTGGAAGACACAGGCTGTGTGATTCCCCAGCTGATTCAGCCTCAGAGGCAGCTGAGCTGGCACAGCTTCTGTTACTGTGAGCGGAGTTCCCCCAACCACTTAACCCCTAATGCTGCAACGCCTGCAACTCTAAAATCGCTCAATTATCCTGTGACCCGAAAACAGCATGTTGCAGATTTTATGACTCTGCAGATTGCTTTGAAAAGAAAAGAGGGCTGGAATTCATTAGGAAAGCCATTTTTTAAATAAAGGACCAGAAAACATAAATCAGCTTAGTGCTGAAGAGAAATTATTTTAAACCTAGGAACTGTGTTAGTACTACAGAACACTTTCCCCTCTCCAGTACATAGGTGGGATGTGTCCTGTAATTCACAGAGCTCTGGGCAAGGCAAACGGGCACTGTCTCAAACCAATATTACACGTCACTTTCAATGGTATATTTAACAGACCAAAAGGAAGCAAATAAGAGGTCACGGTTAAGGTTTACATATAATTTAAGCCAAATCCCTTTAATCTCATATAAGCTTTAATACGTGAATTTCATTTTTAATATATTTACAATATCTGCACACCTGCTGTGCCTATTATGAGGGGCTCCCACCATCAATGTGCTGAGATCCCAGGTCTTCATACCTGCTGTGCCCATTATCAGGGGTTCCAACATCCCTGTGCTGAGTTCCTAGATCCACACACCTGCTGTGTCCATTATGAGAGGTTCCCCGAACTTCCCACCATTCCTCTGCTGAGTTCCTGGGTCTGCACACCTGCTGTGTCCATTATGAGAGGTTCCCAGAACTTACCACCATTCCTCTGCTGAGTTCCTGGGTCTGCACATCTGCTGTGCCCATTATGAGGGGGTTCCCAGAACTTCCCACCATTACTCTGCGGAGTTCCAGGGTCTGCACACCTGCTGTGCCCATTATGAGGGGGTTCCCAGAACTTCCCACCATTACTCTGCTGTGTTCCAGGGTCTGCACACTTGCTGTGCCCATTATCAGGGATTCCACCATCCCTGTGCTGAGTTCCCAGGTCTGCAAACCTGCTGTGTCCATTATGAGGGATGCCCATCATCCCTGTGCTGAGTTCCTGGGTCTGCACACCTGCTGTGCCCATTATGAGCGGTTCCACCATACCTGTGCTGATTTCACAGGTCTGCACACCTGCTGTGTCCATTATGAGGGATGCCATCATCCCTGTGCTGAGTTCCTGGGTCTGCACACCTGCTGTACCCATTATGAGTGATGCCCATCATCCCGGTGCTGAGTTCCTGGGTCAGCACTCCTGATGAGTTCATTATGAGGGGTTCCCATCATCCCTGCTGGATTTGAATTAATTTCATAATTTTATAAGAAGAGTTGGGGGAGTCACTTGAAACGCCTGTAAGAAATGGGTGATAAGGAACAGGAAGGCACAGACAACAATAAAACCGTTGTCATTTCTGACCCTTCCTCACTCTGCTACATTTGTCTTTTTGTTTTGGTCTGTGTCAAACTTGGAGAGATGGCCCAATAGGGACACAAATGGCAAAAATATTCTTGGCTGGAAACTTTTGAGATAGAGCTTGAAATTTTGGACAACCGGTATTCTGTGTTAGCTCAACTCATGGAGGGTCTTGTGCTAGTTGGATTCTCTAGGGCCTTGAAATGTTGAGAAGGTTGAGTGAGGAGCGCCACAATAAGTTTGGAAAAGATATTGCATTTATTGATTAAGCAAGTGTCCAAATATGCAGCCAATGCATTTTGGGGGTTAAAGGGCACCCCCCCTTCAAGCTTATGTGGATGACTTGATAGAAAGCACGGATGATGGTTTAGGAGGCTTAATAGATGCTATCTCGATGTTCTCACAATGGCTGTGAAGCAAACATGCAATAGGTTCTATCCGTTCCCCGCTGGAGTTAGGTTTAACATTCTCTGTGCTAGGGTACTATTGACATGAAAAGGAACAGCAACGTAAACTTCTCCTTGTAGAACCGGAAAAGGCGCTCATGGGTATTGAAGTCACTGCGCTTGTCATGGCTGCAAGAGCCCGACGTGCAACTAGGACGTGTGTGCCAGATCACACAGAGGGGACTCTGTCAGCTGTATAAATTATAGTCCCTGCTTTCTACGCTTTTCCATTTCTTAGGCTTGAATTGTCGCTTTCCTCCTGTGCTAAGTATAACTCCAGAAAGATAAGACGTGATAATCTACGTATGAGACGACAGGCCGCCTCCTCATACACCCACAGTCCTTCTATATTACCTTGACGTTATCGGTGTGTAAATATAATAAAGTCCCTTGATTGTTCTCATGATGATGTCAGAATGTAAAAAAAAAAAAAAATTATACAGTTAAAGGACTAGGTGAAAATTAGCAGAATGAGTCTCTTTTGATAATGTTTACTCAACTATGCTCATACATTCCCAGAACAAGTGCACAATTGGATTTAAAAGCTTTTAACGTTGGGATGTTGGTGCTGTTTTGGCACAGAATGGTCCTTTGTCACAGCTGCCTGGAGGGGGTTAAGCTGCTCATACACAGAGCCCATACACGGGGCTGAACGAGAAAAAACTATAAGTGTATGGTAGCCTTAAGTATAAACAAATGGTTAAGGAAATATTAGGAGCTAGGTCAGGGTCAAGGGTTAAGTATTAAGGTTAAGATTCGGATTAGGACATAGGGGCATGAGTGATCGGTTAAAGTGTAAAGGCCATCGAATTTCGTCCGTCTCCTGCTGAATCGGCCAAAAATTCAATCTGACACAATGACACACTGACACTTGGGGTCCCAAAACAATGATACTTTGGATCCAAGACCAATGACACGCTGACACTTGGGGTCCCAAAACAATGATACAATGACACTTGGGATCCAAGGCCAATGACACAATGACACTTGAGGTCCCAAAACAACAACTCAATGACACTTGGGATCCAAAACCAATGACACACTGACACTTGGATTCCAGGACCAATGACACAATGATTCTTGGGGTCCCAAAACAATGACACCGACACTTGGGGTCCAAAACCAATGACATACTGACACTTGGGATCCAAGACCAATGACACGCTGACACTTGGGTTCCAAGACCAATGACACACTGTCACTTGGGATCCAAGACCAATGACATGCTGACACTTGGGATCCAAGACCAATGACACGCTGACACTTGGGGTCCCAAAACAATGACACAATGACACTTGGGATCCAAAACCAATAAAGCACCGACACTTGAGTTCCAAGACCAATGACACATGGGATCCAAGACTAATGATACACTAACACTTGGGGTCCCAAAACAATGGCACTTGGGGATCCCAAAGCAAAGATACACTGACACTTGGGATCCCAGAACGATGGCACAGTGACACCTGGAAGCACTATAACAATAATACACTCACACTTGGGATCCAAGACCAATTACATAATGACACTTGGGGGTCCCAGAACAATGACACTGTAAAACTTGGGGTCACAGTCCAGTTACAAAGAATGGCCCATATTTGATATGGCCTGTACCCAAATAATGGACTGAGAAAAGACAATAACACAAGTGTGCCTAGTCCTAACGGCACACTCTGAACCCACACACACCTATTCCACACTACACACACACACACACTAACAGAGCCAAAGAAAATAACCAGTTTGTTTTTGTAACTCTCTTGATATTTAAAAGTGAAAAACATGTGCATAAAAAGAAGTGAGAGAGGAGCAATGGAATCTTCTGGAATTGCTGAACTGCTGGGACTTCTGGCCATGCAACTCTACTCTCCGGAGAGATATAAAATAAGCTCCCTGTCCTGCAGCCAGATGGTACGAGGCCATGGCAGCACAAAGCTCCTCTATGAGAGTTACGAGCAAACAGCAACCCTATCCAATCCACCTCAGCGAGGGCCAGGCACCCTCCTCCGTAATACCGGGGGCCGAAGGGCTGTCTCTGCGAGAGCCAAAATTAGCTATAAGCTATTCAACCCGGATTTCACCACACATATTTATATATTTGAGGACAAGCAAAGGTCTCAGTATTGACAAATCAGAACACACCAGCAAAGTATAGATTTGCAAATCTCAATTTCAGTAAAAGCCTAACTCTATCCAAAATGTATTTTATTTTAGTTTTGAATAAATCGAGAAAGAGTTAAAATTTCTTTCAGGTATTTATTTTCATCTGTGACCCCATTAGGGGCATTTTTCTCACTTCCTGTTCCTGTGACACCTGTATAAGAAATGGGGAGTGGGAATTGGTGGACACTGGGATAGGAAGCCAAAGACAACAATAAAAACATTGTAAGAAGTTCTAACCTTTCAATGCTCTATTGAAAATAAGTATTTGCCTCAAGTTCAGTCTGGCAAAACTTGAACCACCTTCTTTGGCAATGCTGACTTATCTAGGACTTATGGCAGCATACCTACACTTTCTTAAAGAAGAACTCCAGGAATTAACACAATTAAAACTTGTAGTGGAGCTACCCCTGCACTGCAAAAGTTAACTGCTTGTTTTGCTCTAGGGTCTGGATTAAAGAAGACATATATACCTGATCCTCGATCCCGCGTGACTGCTAGACCGCTCCCTGCAGCCCCTACTCTGCCAGGCTCCGATGGACTGCTGAAGTCATCACGTTTAATGCAGCTCCATTCACTTGTATTAGACGTGAGGATGCCGACGCACAGCTGGAGCGAAAGGGACAAGTGGTAAGCGCGGACTGCCGCAGGACTGAGGATCGGGTGAGTTGATCTTTTGTATTCCACCCCGTAGACAAAAATGAGCAGTTCATTTAATTCATTCCTGGAGTTCTTTTTTTAAGCTGACCACACGGTTATATTTCTTTCATTCAAACCGCAGGCCGAACAAAACAAAAAAATAAGTAGGGATGCACCGATACTGGTATCGGTGCCGAATGACACGCTGCCCGGCTTCTTGATTGGCTGGGAAGACGGCTCCATGCTAGCGGAAGTACAGGTATCGGCGAGTATCGAAAGATAAATATCGGTCCTCGCACTCGATACTGCAAAACTGGTATTGGTGCATCCCTAAAATGATGTTTAGTAGATGTTTAGCGTGGGCGGAAGACTCTCCCACTGGGTCATTGAATCCTGACAAGGGCGGGCGTGCCGCTGTCATAATACCCCAACAGTGATGGCAGCTGATCGATTGAAGGATGCCGGACGGAAGGCTGCTCACCACCCACTGAGTGGATATGGTCCGGTTCTGGATGAATTCGCAGAGTGTATGACCAGCTTAAGAAGACATGACAGATCCGAACCTGAGCTGATCCCTAGTTGTCACCGTAGAACAGGAAGTATGTGACTGGCAGGATCACCCTAAGGACTGGTAAGCTGCAATATATTACACTTTTGTTATTGGATTTAGATACACATGGAAAGAGTGCTCCTATAGGCGGGACAGCTTGGGGAGAGGGAGAACGAAAAAGTATCGCCACACTAATACACAATAAGGTCATCACTGTGTTCCCGTTCCTGCCTGACCACACAAATAGATACTCACCGTAACTTTGCCGTCATTGACATCCCGATAATCTGGGTTGAGCTGAAACAGACAAAAGTTATCACTAAGCACATAATTATGAGAGAGAGAGAGAGGGGGGGAGAGAGAGAAGGAGAGAGGGGGGAGAGAGAGAAGGAGAGAGGGGGGAGAGAGAGAAGGAGAGAGGGGGGAGAGAGAGAAGGAGAGAGGGGGGAGAGAGAGAAGGAGAGAGGGGGGAGAGAGAGAAGGAGAGAGGGGGGAGAGAGAGAAGGAGAGAGGGGGGAGAGAGAGAAGGAGAGAGGGGGGAGAGAGAGAAGGAGAGAGGGGGGAGAGAGAGAGAGGAGAGAGGGGAAGAGAGAGAGAGAGGGGGGGAGAGGGGGTGGGAGAGAGAGACAGAGAGAGAGACAGACACACACACACAAACAAACACAAGGGAATGGTTAAAAACACTTATTTGCCATCTGCATCAAATTGGGGAGATTTCCCATCACTTCCTGCCCTGCAGACACAACAGAAAGTAAAAGGAAATCTCTCTAAAGGAAGAGGAAATCCCATCTAATAAAGTTAAAGGAACAAGTATTCCCTTCATTTTTTTTTTCAGGTGACAACTCAAAAATGTGTACTTGGCTACTGTTCAGTCCTGGTGACAATGGTCACAAGGCGAAATAAAAACCTGATATAAGTCCTAACCCTCTTGTCATGGATAGAAAGGGGCACAGTTTTACCCAGCGTCCAGAAAATGGCAAATTCTGCTTTAAATGATCCAGGTTTGTGACAGCTTTAAAAAAGTATAACTACATAAATGTAAACTATGTACAAAGAATACAATTTAGCGCTGTGTATCATAAACAATCATCTTTTTATTTCCAATAAAATTCTTGTTTTAGCCTTCTTTCATCCTGGGCTGCACCTGCTGATCTCCTGCAGGCTCTCTGCTCTCACTTCCTGTCTACATGCACTCCAGTGATGGCTGCATGGCTTTTCTCAGCACAAGTCTCCTGATGGTAACAACCGTGGACCATGGCTGCATAATGTGTTTAGAAACATCCATTAGGAAGGACAACGTGCGACAGGGTGACAATACAGATGTATGTTTTATGCCCCATTCACCCCTATACGTAGCGCGCGTTTGTTTTCTGCGTTTGCCACGTGTCCCTATTGATCTCAACGGGATTTCAAATGTGTGACAAAACGTGGAAAAATAGCAAAATTCCTGATTTTTTTCTTCACAGTTTGTGCGCGTCTTCCTGGACGCATTTGGGGTGCCATTAACGGTAATGGCAAAGCATGCGCATTTTTGACACATTTTGCAAACAAAAATGTGCACATTTTTTGCAGATTTGACGCACGTCCTTGAAACGGTCAAGTGTGAATGGGGAGTAAGAGACAGGGGCAGAATGTTATGACCTTATAATATAACAGGAAGTACCTGAAGATGGACCTTCATGGCCTTTAGATAGGCAGAGCCAGCTGTCAATCAACCAGTTGAGTGGATCTCGACAGTATTGTCGGGATCCGTCCCGGGTGCGGCGCTCTCAGTATATAACAGGCAATAGCTCGCTATACTGTATACTGAGCTTTGGGTCACAGGAGGAGGTTAGTATATGTCCTCCTATGACCCTAAAGAGAACTATGGGATGAAAAGGTTACACCATAGTTCTCTTTTTTAAAAAAATATCAAAAATGACTTTTAAAGGAGAACTATGGGTTTAAGGCTTTTCCCTATTCGTTCTCCTTAGGGTAACGGGAGGACACAAACTAGCGTCCTCCCGTCACCCTAGGCTCAGTATACCGCGAGCTGCTGTACACTAAGACGCCGCAGCTGAAGCGGATCACGACAATTATGTCTGGATCCGCCCAGCTGCGTGACTGACAGCTGGCTCTGCCTATCTAGAGGGAGAGCCAGCTGTACCCGCCCCCTCCCCTGTCCGTTCCGCCAGTCAGCGCTGGCGGATCAGAGCGGGGAGAGGGGAATCCAGCCCCTTCGCTGTCACGGCAGAGAGACGTGACAGGATCGAGAGGTGAGCGAACGCCGGTATGTGTTCACTCACCTCCCGATCTACTAAGCCGACCTGTGACAGTCTCATTGTCACAGGTCGGCTAGAACTATGAGGTGAGTGAAAAGCACTCACCTCATAGTTCTCCTTTAAACTGACATGAACATGTTAAAGATTATTCGAGTTTTGAGTGCCTGGGTTGATACACTCTAACCTGACAATAACGATTTCAAAGCTGTAAGTGTGATTGGCGTGGACATGAAGCGTTTACATTGTCATCAATTCACTGGCGGTATAGAGGTGCCCCCGGAAACTCTCGTACCTGGAGAACGCACAGCGGGGGCTTCAATGAGACTTAAGACAAAGCAACGTCTAAGTCCCATTACTTAATGAATACATGATTGTGTGCGTAATCCTCTCTGTTCTGTATCATTTGTTCTTTGTCATCCTTGGCGCTGGGCGAGAAGGTCTGCAGAGGGGAAGGTGCACACAGCAGACAATACCAGCTTCTCCTTCAACAATTTCTTCTTGTTTTATGGATACAGAAATCAGAAAAAGGAAAGAAACGCGGCTTATGGAATTCACAACATGATTTGCTCTAAAGGAAACTATTGTCTTTTTCTTTGTGATCAGCTTGAAAAAAAAAACTTTTCAGAAGAAACTTAATGAAGTTCTGATTGATCTGCTTGCTTTTTCTGGCTCAGTGACTCAGACAGCAAGACGGCTGTTGGTCACTATAACAGCCAGGCGAGTAGCATCTTCAAATACAGGTCAGCAATGGCAGCTCCTGCATCTCTTTAGGACCGAATGGCAGACAAGATGCTAAATACACAGATGAAGTTCATGTGTGGGAGCTGTTTAACCTGCCAAAGGAGTTGCATGCCTGTCCATCCATCCAAAGCACAGCCTGGTCTATTTTTCTCTGGTGTAGATATGTAACATTTACAGGTCTTATCCCTCCCCCAGGCTGTGATTGGCCAGTGAAAGGAGAAGCAGAAGATGAATGAGCTCATTTCTCTGTCACTCTGCTCTCTTCTTCTATCACAATGGTCCTTTGAAAGCAAAACAGGCACTGCAGAACCATTTGACTCCTTGTGGTGCTTCTCCCTGTGCCAATCTGAGCTCTGCTGTACAGGGAACTGCAATAGGCTGGTGACATTTAGTTTTCGAACGCTCTACATACTATAAAAAAAAAACTGCTATTTTTCTTTAATTAAAATATTTTTCACCTTATTTTAATACTTTGTTGTACCTCCACAGCCCCTTTGTTTCTAGATTTACTTCAGCAACAGCTCCATGGCATATCTCAGGGTGGGTTTCCTATGGTGACAACCGTGGACCAGGCCTGTTTAAGGTGCATCAGTATGGTCGCTTTTAATTTTCACTGGCAGGGTATAAAAGGGTGACAATGCAGAAAAATGTTTGAGAGTGAGGACAGCGGCGGCACTAGGGTGAATGTCACCCGGTACAGCCACAACTTATGCGTCATGACATAAGTGGTGTGACATCACACATGTGCGGTGATGTACTTCACTGCCAGCGGCCATCTTGGTGATGGACACCGGCAAAGAAAGGAGGGGATATGTATTGACCCAGCAGGATCAGGTATGTCGGGTTCCCCCTTTCTCTCATGATGCGGTCTAGCTCTCGGTCCATGACCGAGTGCTCTACTTTTACAGCCCATTCACACCAGGGCGGCTGCGGATCAGCGCAGTTTCCGCGCTGATTTCAAAAGGGAGGTTTTGGGAATTTTTAATTGGGTTTAATTGTACAAGGAGCAATTAATTGCGCAGGGAGCAGTTCGGGCGGGGGGCAGTTCGGATCGCGCTGAGCCGCGCGGTTGCATGAACGGTCCCCATAGCAATGTATGGGATCGTTCATGTCGACGGATCTGCGCGGCCGAACCGCCCTGGTGTGAACGGGGCCTGAAAAAGGAGTGACGCCAAAATGACTGTTAGTCAATTTAGTGTCACCCCCTCTGATGGTGTCACCCGGTGCGGGCCGCACCCCCTTTGTGACGCCACTGAGTCAGGGCCAGAGCGCTGTCACCCCATAACAGGAAGTGACTGAGCAAGTATCTCCATGACAAGCTCACCAAGTATTCATTTAACATAAAATATACATAATATATATAAAATGTAACTATAAAAATAGAGAAAAATGACCTTTTATGGGACATCAACATGTTATAGCCAAAAAAAGATGTTAGAGATTGGGCTACTTTCAGCCAATGAGCGTAAAGCTGCAGTGAATATGAAGACGTGGCGGAGGGCAGAGGGAAAGCTGGCAGCTGTTTGTAACACAAGCCCCTGTAGGAGACCAGCTCCTGATGGCAAGGGACTCTGGCCAGGGGGCAACAAGGCCAAACACATATACATAAATGAACAAATGATGAATCAAAGAGGAAGGAAATGTTCTTTTCTCTGCAGGTGGCTTGTGGTGCTAACCATGTATTTAGATCCTGATCAGTGGTGTAGTACAACATGAAAAAGTAGCGTTTTCCTAAAGCCTGGGAAAACTGGGTCCAGGCCACCAGCTGTATTATATTTAACATGGTGTTATAAGAAGCCTACTGGGAACTGTCAACTGGACACTTCTTATTTAGGAGCGGACGGCTCTATAAATAATATTGCTTGTTAACATGTGGAGGAATCAGCCTACACCACTTCTTCCATGTAGGTTGGGGCAGATCATAGACTGGTGAATGCTGCCATCTAGTGGAGTCTCTGTGAAAGTTCAATGTCTTCTAATCCAATGCTGTCAAGTAAGCGTGGGCCCATTTCGCTAGCTCCGTGTTATAAATACCCACTGGGGTTTCTTGTTTGGGTCCAGACAAGTAGACTGCCAGGCCTTTTTCTATCACAGGAAATCCAAATACTGGCCATTGCAGCCAGATGCTGTTTAACGTACAAGTATATTTCTAGGTGGTGGGACAGAACCAGGGGATCGGATCCCTGCTAAGAATTATACCCAGGACCCCAGCACTGCAAAGCTGGCATGCTAAGCACTAAGTCTCTGGGCCACCCTAACAAGTAAAAGGCAAGAAAACCAATTAAAATATGGTTC